TTTCTTTTCTCTCGACAAACTCATTCTGATTGTATGGAAAGTAACTCTTTCCGTTTCTGAGCTCAACCGGAACAAAAACCAAATCTTCAATGAAAAGGCAGAAGAAAACTGTTTTTCAACATTTTATTTTTGCTTTTCTTCTTTTTTAATCAGACTATTACCACTTCGTATTACTTTCTTCAAACATTCCTTATTTGTGTGTATGTGTGTATGTGGTCTGTGTGCATCCGACTTCCTTCTCTCATTCAGTCTCCTCCCTGGCCTACGTTCGAAAAATCCTTTGCCATTATCTTATTTTGCCTTTTTTACACATCATCGTAACAATTGTAAGCTTTTGTTTATAAAATATAAACAAAATAAATAAGGAGAAAAGAATGAAGCTGACTGAGTGAGAAAACCACGCAAACTCATTCAACAAGTTACATTTTCGTTTTGTTGTTTATTTGGCTTCCCATGCTTTTGACCGTTTGCCTTCTGTTTTCAGCCTTCATATTCGAATTGACGGTTTTTTAGTTTTCTCTCTTCTCTCTCTCTCTTCTCTCTCTCTCTACGTTTCAGCTAACATGAATTCGTTTGTGACCTTTCAGATGAAAACGAAGAAAAAACACACTGAAAGTCTTAATGAAGCTCTGATTTGTTGTAGCTTTCTATGAAAGCTTGTTTGATCTTTCACCAACTATTCGTTTATTCCACTCATTTCTGGAAATATCAGAAAAGAACTTAAAAATGCGAATGTTTTCATCTGAAAATACGATTAATATCGTCTTCAACAGGTCAAAGAATATCGTCAGAAACCTAAACACAACATGCAGTCACTTACAAATCAGTTCATATAACATCAGATGTTGTTGTTGTTATTGTTGTTGTTGTTGTTGTGTTTGACGTGAAACAGGTCTCTCTTCTGGCTGATCCCGAGACAAGATTTTCTTCTCTTCAGCGCAGCTTCTCTGCTTGTAACTCTCTCCTCCCATTCTCTTAGCTATTCATCTATCCTTATCGTTCTTTATATTCGTTCTGCATTGAGTCAAGAGTCAGAGAGAGAGAGAGAGTGAGAGAGAGAGACCTTCCAAATATATCATTTACAATCTATTTCATACCCAGAATTCACAGACACAATCGTCCAGACTGCAAGGAATTTTTAAGTTTTTCAACTTTCATCTGTCCAATCATTTTATGAGTTATTAAAATATTTCTGTAATCATATTTCTTTTCTCTTTTGATTCACTCAATTATCAGTTAGTTTTGACACATCATTCTGCCGTTTTATCATCTTTAGAATGATTAGACGGTTGCCTTGTCCACTGATAACAAACGATCCAAAACCAAAATATCCGGAGTTCATAGGCTGTTTGTTTGTTTTTCTATTCAAAATCATATAATCTCATTACGTCTCTATACTATATCACATCATATGCTAATTATGTGAATTCACGTAATTCATGTGCATGTGCGCGAATTACGTGACATTTGAAAATTCCAGAGTTGAGTTACTAAGGCATTCATTCTTACTTATTTCCGCATGCAGAACGGTTGTACTCAATCTCTCCATCTATCTATCTCTCTCTCTCTCTCTCTGTTTCTTACTCCTGCCGACAACCTCTCATAATCCCTTTTTCTTTTCGTATTTCTTTTTTTTAAACTCTTCCTATCTCATAACTTTTCATTCCTTTCTACTTCTTTCTCTCTCTCTATTTCATTCACTTCTCCACTTTCATTTATATATTCTATTGCTCTTTGTGAGTCCTTTGCCCCTGAAGTCAGTGGTGCCAAATCCATAGCACATGGTCAATACGAAGCTGTTTCATCGTCATAAGTATTAAATTTCATCCAGCATTGAGGCAGCTGAAATTCTTCATCCTCGCCCGAATCACGTTCTATCCCCTAAAATCGCACATGAACAATTCATTGGCCAATTTTATGGAACTATAGTCATATTTCGGCAAAATCTTCTTGTCATTTAACGCTAAGCCATTTATTCTTCGTTACTCTTCTGAATATATCTTTTGAATTACATTTCTATCTCTCTCTCTCTCTCTCTCTCTCTCTCTATCCGTCTCCCTCTCATTTACCCCCCTTCCTCTTCATCTACTCTCATTCTAACCTTCTATCTTTCTCTTCCAATTTCTCAATCTCTCATTGCTTTTACTTACTTTCCGTTTTGCGTATTTGGACTTTCATCTCTTCATGAGACAAGCTTTCATTCATATGACCTCTTGCATCATTTGCGATCAATTCCTTTTTCAGCTTCTAGAGTTCCGATACTAATTACAAGCCGAATTTTTATTTCATCTTCCTTCAATCAATTCTCTTATGTGGTTTTTTAATTTTTTTTCGTCCCTTATCTCACTCTCAGCTATCACTTGCCACTTTTGGTTCTTAAAGCCGTTTAGTCTTTGCAAGCAAAATTCTCATGTCCGGTTGTAAGCTATCCGAAAATCTTTCATCTTCATCCGAGTTTGATCACTTCCAATCCTCTGACATAATAAGATGCTCATTATTACGTGTATGAAGCTGACGCTAAAGCTGCTTCTTTCCCATATACAGCTCATCGCCTTCTGACAACTCACTAATTTTTTTATTCGAATGTCTCTCCCTCTCTCTCTCCCTCTTTCCTTTCCTTTCTGTCTTCCTTCTATGGTCAGGAGCCAGAGGAAGAAGTAGAAAGAGAATTTCATCTGGCGCTTTATTTTCCGTATTGCTTTCTTCTTCTCATTCGTTTCCATGTATCTATCCATATCTTCGTTATGTTTGGAGCTTTCGATTCCACGTCCATCAACAGAATTCACTCTTCTCATCCTTCGTTGAGTCAGTTCTTCCTCTGCCTTGCCGGACATGCACGGAATTCAACTATCACCCTATTTCAATCATTGAGGAGAAGCTTCGTTCTCTTCCTCTCGTTCTTTCCCTCTCTCTCGTTCTATTTCTAAGATAACAATCGTCGGTCAACAACAATGTTTCTCCTAAAAGCTTTTTATTGATGTTCAAGCTATAAATCAGAATGCTGCAGTTGCCTCATTCTCTATTCACTATCAGAACAAGCTTGATCTGCTTTCTGAAAATTCACATCAGTACCTAGAATCGCTTCTAATTCGGACCAAAAGCAAAAAAAGACATTCACACCCCCGCGTGTCGTATGGCTTTTGATCCCATTAATCTTACGTCATGCTCGTTTAAAGCTGTCCATACTTCACATAGAGCTTGAATGTTCGCCTAACTTATTTTCCTTGCCTTTAGTTGACCCAAACGAATGTTTATAAGCTCTCTTACTGTTCTTTACCCTCTTTCGCATTCATCCCTTCTCTTTCTATCATTTACAAGTTTCTTCACACTTCTTTAACTCTTCTACTTCGTCAGCTCTTTAATCTTGTCTCTTTATCCTCTTTTATGTCATTTTTTTCACTTTTCCTTATTCGGAAGCTGTGAAAGGAGTATGTAGAAATGTATGCTACGTCCCTCTCTCCCTTTTTTCTCTCTCTCTATGTCTGGCCGATTGATTATTCCATTGCTTGGAGTCTCCTACTACACATGGAATGCGATGACGCTGGAAGAGCTGAAGAAAGGAAAATCGAAAGAACAGTTGAAGGAAGAACTCTACGAAAATAGAGAACCAGAGAACGAGAATCGGAGAGTCGCTTCAATCGCTTTGGTCTATTCGTTTTTCGTTTTCGACTCTTCCTCTATCTTCAATTGCTGACGGAGCCTTCTCATCCACTGAAATCCGCATGACATCGTTGATGAAGTTGAGAGTCTTCAGTACATTGTGGCCATATTAGGCGATAAAACAGGATAGCCGATTCAGATACCTTGTTATTGCCTTTTTTGAGAATAAGATGAGAAAAAAATAAGTGGGAAATGACCTGTGTATGTGTCTCTCTTCTCTATCCTTTGTTCTATTTTATTACCTTAAATAGTGTCAAAACTCTATTTCCTATTTCGTCTCGTCCAAAATGCTTTTTTCCCATTCGAAAAATAAAACAAACTGTATAGATATGGTTTTTTCTATCTTTTATTTTGTTAAAAAAAAAGACAATTTTTGTTACAAAACTGTATTTGACGTATTGAAATAACAAAGCTTTGTTTTCGTCTTTCCCAGCTCTTCAACCAATTAATGATCATCTAGAAAGGTAAAAGTCTAAATCTGTGCCTTCCATTCACGTGATGACTATCATCAAGATGCAAAGCGTTTTTGGATTTATTACAAACATCAAAACGAGACTGTTTTCATCTTCCTTCTCTCTTTACATTGTCCATCTCCCCCGTCTTGACTACTGATATTCCCCCCCCCCCTCAGCCTCTCCTTTCCATTATTAACATTCGCCGTCTTTCATCTATTATTTAATTTTTTTTCTTTTTAACATCATAGTGTCATCAATGATCATGTAAAATCAATTTACCCTATAGCTCTCTTTGCATGTACGTTCCATGACAATTCCAGAAAAACAGCTCTCTACTCGTTATTGTCGTCGGTCATTCAGACTGCTGTTAGCCAACTCCCTTCCCCCCCCCCCTCTTCCACATATTTATCGAACCTTGTATCTCTCCATCTTTCACTTTCATATTCCTTACATTCCTATATGTAACTGTCACTTTCTGTAGACAAGTTGAACTCTGGAAGAAACAGTAAAAGAAAACATTTGTGTGATTGGGGGTAACTCTTCAACGAACTTAACCAGCAAGAAGCATTTTCGTTCCACAAAACAATCACAATGTCTAATTACAACTGATTGACAACAATAATAACAATCGAGTGACCATATATGATTCATAAGGCAAACCATAATTTGCCATGTTTGGTTTGATGTTTGGAATCTTCTGATTGTGACAGTGATTTCAAATGGAAAGTGTGGAAGATTTATCACATGGTTCAACACTCTCTCCCATACTCTATCATTCCTTTCTCTCTCTGTCAACCTCTCTCCCTCTCTCTGTCTGTATCTCTGTCTCTCCAATATAGTTTTACTTCTTTTTCTAGTTTATTCACTCAAATACTTCATTTTCAGGCCGGTTATGTACCAACAGCAGGGTTCAAGCATGTCGGCTCAACAGCCCGTGTACCTCAATAACAATAACAATAATAACAATAATAATAATAATAATAATATCGGACCTATTTCAAACAATATGAACGGATATCCAGGAAATCAGTGGTAAGTTCCCAACAAATGGTTTCAAAATGAACTAAGAGGGTCACTTTTTGTATGAAACTTTCATTCTATTCCAATCAACTAGTTTCCTATGCCTATGAGATCAGCTAGTATTTGGTTGGTTTTTTGTGTTCATGTTTCCTTTCTTCTCTTTTTGATGTAAATTCATTGAATTCTCTTCGTTTCATGGCAAAGTTGTCCACTCTCTATCATTTCACCTCTTGTATGTTCCATTCTCTCACCTTCCCTTCTCCCTCTCTCTCTCTCCATTCTCTCTCTCTCTTTCTATCCCTCTTATTACAAAGGAAACATTGCAAATGTAAACAGAGAAGGAGAGTAAAGTCAGAATGATGATAGCACGTGGTCAGACAGTTCATAAGTTCGATTGAAACGATCATTTTCATTTCATTTTCCATTGTATGATGTAACATTCGACTACGTCTAGAACTATTTGAACAAATTGACGAATCACTTGTGTGTTCTTTCAATCCATTCTACTTTCGTTTCATCCTCTTCTTCCTCATTTTTGTGTGTTTGTGTATAATCACAGTCCTCTCTACCTTCTCTCTTAATCTCAAACCATGGCAGTGTCCGGCAACAATTGCATCTCAAAAAACTACAGCCGTGTACCACTTGCTATAGAGTTGTAAACCAACAGCAAGCATCCTTAAACTCCCCTCTTTTCGATTTCTTCCTCTCTTCATCTCTCTATGTCCTTCTCTTTCTCTTCTTGTCAACTTTTATCGTTGTCCACCTCGTCGTTTCTTGCTTCCGACCGATTTGTTATTGTTTTTGTTGTTGTTTTGCGCTGTTGCCGGCTTCTTACCTCTCTAACTGTTTTATTCTCTCCCTCTCTCTCTCTCTTCTATTCTCTTTCTAGCTAAATCCAAAATGTTTTCGTGACTCTCTTTTTATTTTCATAGCCTCGCTAATCGGCGTCATCAATGTCCACAACAGTAATGATCTCACGTAGGACATATTTATTATGATCATTTAAACGACATCATTTTCAACTTGTGTTTATCTCTACGAATAAGAATTTGAAGCCAAATATCCTGGCTGTTCCGTTTTGAAGATTTGATATCAGACTAATCCTCAGAACTTGGATAGTCTTGACGCTTTTCCATATTTAGAAACCTCAATGAAATCTCTCAAATGATATTTCCTTTCATCTCCTCCTTCTCTCGCCTCATCATCAGCTCTCTCTGCAGTTCATCACTATCACACTGTTAACATTCAATCGAAGTTTTTCTTCTTACAAGTTTTCGAAAACTTTCTTGTTTAAAGTTTTTTTCGTTGAAAGCCAGCTTTCAAGCTATTTGCTCATTGTTTGTGTCCATTTAAGGTTCTGTTTTCGGCCAACGATTGTTGTGACCAAGCACTAACAAAAAAGAGACGAATAGACATATGTTTTGAGCAAAAGCAAAAAAAAACTGGAAGTAAGAAAGAAATAAAGAGGGGGAGATTCCAGTAACATGAAGGTAAAGAGAGGAATGAAAGCAATGCAATAAAATCACAGACGATAAACGAATGAACATCGGTGTTCTGATGAAGGCTACAACTGATAAACTGTGTCCCCTCTTTCTCTCTCTTTCTGTCTAGAGAGCTTAGCTTGTATGTGCTCTCGATACGGAGGGCAGCAAAATAAGCATTTTGTCTTAAATCTCTAACCTCTGGTCGATCTTATATAGCAATTAGTATCAAACGGCTTATAATCGTCTAGGAAGCTTATTGATACTAAATGAGCAACTTGTTGTTGATAGAGCTTATACGACCGCATAAATTACTTATATAAGCAGATTTCTTCAAATATAAATGATGAAAAAAGATTATATAAATATTCTTTTATTGATATTACATCTGTGATGACAGTTCACACATATCGCATTCCACTTCATTAGCATATAACATGCGTCAAATGTTTCACGTAAGATGCCATGACGTCATTTTGATCTTTGACGATGGAGTGAACGGTTGTTCTTCATTTTGAGTTTCTCTTTCCACTCCACACCCCTTTCTCTCTCTCTCTCTATGTCTCTCTCTCTTTCATTTCGTCTTCCTTTCAAAATATTATTTCAATGTATTTAGTCAAGTTATCTCCCTCTCTCTTTCATTCTCTCCCTCTCTCTCATGCTCTTCCTCTCTCTCTCTCTCTTTCGCTCAAAAATTATTATATTATTTTATATTTTTAAATGTTTTGTCTTCTGTATATTCATGTTCGTACATGTTTTCTTTCTATCATAATGATTTTTATGCGATTTCGTTTTTCGTAAGTAAAAAATAGCTGTTTTACTACTAATCAACAAGTAACAAACAGATAACACACTATAGCTACAACTATAGCAGAAACTACTGCATCAGTAGCCGCAAAGCCATCATAAGGCTTCATAATGTCGTTTCTTTTCCCTTTTTACTCTTCCTCTATTTCGAAACTAGCCACGCACGTCTTCTCTCATTCCCTCTCAATCTTGTCTTTTCCACTTTCTCTCTCTCTCTCTTTCCCTCTCTCTCTCTCTCTCTCTCTCTCCCTCTTTCTTTCCTCTCCCTTCACTGCAAAAGCTTTTCCATGACAAGGAAAAACATTAATGTTTTCCAAAACAGTAGCAGGCTTGAGCCGTTGGAATAACAAATACGTTCTGTCTCGCTTCTTTCTACACATAGCATGTAGCACCTATGGTCTTCTGCCCCACCCAATATTTCGAGGATTATCTTAGATAGTGCATTACATCTTCTATGTTTTATTACTTTTCCATTTTATTTTCATCTTTCTTCCTCAAATTTTTTTTTGATTGATACCTCTCTCTCCCCCCCTCTCTCTCTCTCTCTATCTCTCTCTCTCTACCTACCTACGATCAACCTCTTTCTCAATTATTCAGAACTGTACTTCTATTACTATACAGTACTCACCAACTTCTTTATCAATGTTATCATTCTATTATTGAAACTTCCATATGCTCATGCCTGTCTCTCTGTCTGGCCTGGAACATTTCCAATTTTGGGAGAAAAGCGAATGAAAACGATTGTATTTCATATCATTTATCCATTTTCTTTCTTTTCTTTCTTTTTTGTAAAATGGAGACTGTTTCCTCAATATTATCAAAACACAAACATTCCAAAAATCAAATTTTTATTGTTTTTGAAGCTGTCACATAGATTTCCAAGACTCTCATATGCTTGTTATACCTGACATGTTCTTTATATTATATATTTCAGCTCTTCGTATATTCATCCGAGCTTATGTGCTCCCCCTGAATATCCTATGGCTAGCCAAGTTCACTCTGCTCCTCCAACTGTTGCCGGTCCACATCACACACCTTCTATGATGCCCACGCCTCCCAACCAAATGAGTGCCAATCACTCGGCAGCATCAACTCCTGTCTCACAACCACATCATGGTCATTGGCCAGAATTTTATCACCAATCACCTGTTCAAACACCAACAACTGCTGTTCATCAGGTATGTTAACATTTTCGTTTTTTTTTTTTAAATTGTAATTACGATTGCTTACATCTGCTATCTGTTGAACTGTCCAATAAGCATATTTGTATTGAAGAGAGGAGCTATCGTTCATCTCGTGAACAGTCCCTCTCTTTCTCCGTCTGTCTGTCTGAGTAACAGATAGTCTTTGAGAGGTGGCATAGCTTTGTATCTTCAATGCAACAGTTCTTTTTGATTGTTCTCAGTAATAGTTATCCTGTTCGAGAATGTTTTCATTGCTCCTTGGTCAATTCCAAAAGAATAACTATAAATGTGTTTTGCTCTTCTGAATATTCATTTTGTTTTCTTTTTTCTGTTCTGAAAACGAATCTCTTACTCTCTCTCCTTCTCTCTCTCCTGCTGTATTCAGATTCGCAGAACAGTACGAAGACTGTTATGATAGACAGTTCAGATAGCAACAAGAGAGAGAGAGAAAGAGACAGACAGGGAGAGAGAGGGAATGAGATGAGAAAAACACATTTTGTTCAAGTTTTTGGAGGAAAATACAAGAAAATAAAGTGATTTTCGAAGTTTTGAACTTTCGTTGAAAAAAAAAAGAAAAAAACCAACCGGTCTGTGCGAATACGTGAAATTGAATAAAAAACAAATTGTTTTTCACTCTTCTCACGTGAACTTTCACGTAAAAAAATGTGTGTCACTGAGAGAGAGAGAGAGAGAGAGAGACGTATATGGCGTATGCAAATTTTGTGTGTTAAAAATTCGATTTTAATTTAGTGATATGCCGGAAATGTCATTGATGTACTTAGAATGTCAGAGATAGTTTCATGAAATCTCATTTTGTTTTTGCTTTCGGAACATTATTATGTTAATTGTTCAGTTTTTGTTGCAGAATAGACACGAATCTTGAATATTTAAAAACAGAAGTGAAATTTCTGATAATATTTTGTCAAAAATATTTTTTGTTAAAAGAGCACCACAAGACATTCCTCTTCGTTCCTGAAATGGATTATACAACCTGCGTAAATAGAAATGAAACAAACCCTTCTCAGTCTTCTGTGTCCGTCTTCTTCTTCTTCTTTCCCTCCTTTCTATTATACCACCTCCTCCTCATCTCTCTCTTCCTCTCCACCTCTTCAGCTTCACATCTCGCTCCCTTACCCTACATGTCCATATATGTCAGAGAACTGATATAATTTTATTTCTTTCTGTCTTTTCTTTTTTCATAGCCATTCTTTATGGAAAAAGTTACGATGTTCGTCATGTTGACGAAAGCACAGCAGCTGCCCAAAAATCGGTCATCTGGCATCAGCAACGAAGCTCTTCGAAGCCAATATATTGCTGTTGCTCATTCAAAAGAAACTATTGAATGACTAAAATTTTGCAATAAACACTTAAACCCAATTTCTTTTTAAAAAAAAAGAGAAGAAAAGAAGGAATTTGACTGTGCAATGATGAAAAATCTCTTTTTGGTCATAACCTCTGAACAGCTTGGATCATTGCTTACCTTCATCGGTAAAATGATAATGTTGCACTCTGTCTCAACATTAAGCCAACTAGAGAGAGAGATGGAAATCCCATGAATATTTTCCATCGTCAAGCAAATAGTTTGAGATCGATGGCTTGTCTTCGTTCAAATTCCTACACTTCACTTTCTTTCTCTAATTATCATATATGTGAAGATTTCAACAAAATTATTCAACTTTTCAAAATATTATTTCTTAAAGTTCACTCTCTATTTTCATTTCTTTCAGGTTCATTTTGCTCAAAATGCTGCTCCAAGTCAGCCTCCGCCAACAACTACTACTAAAGGGCAGAAACGAAAAGCTTCTGCTCCCGCACCAGCTCCGACAATGGCTGAGCGTCCCGCAAACCCTATGAACTATAATCACCACCCTCCAGGCTATAACTATGGACAGGTATGTGAAGCTGAATACAATCATTCTCAATTTGTTGTTGCACAACAATAGCATATTGAGAATTGTGTGTAAATGTATTTGTATGGACATCAATCACTTGTTTCAGACCATATCTGGTATGGATATGAACATGATGGAGGATATGCACCATAATACTATGAATAATCACTTGTCTCCATACAGGTAAACTTGAATTGATGATTTGAAAAAACCAGAAAACTCAAAAAACGTAGTAATTTCGCATGAAGATTCACATAATCCTCACTGGACTTCACATTTTTCTCCTGAGGGCTTCTTTATCCATTTTACTGGACAAACATTGAGCTGTTTATTATATGAGTAGGGAGGGACGAACATAGAGAGAGAGAGAGAGGGGGGGGGGAGAAGTAACAAGGGAGAGAGGGAAGAAGAATACTCAGATTATATGTTTATACGAAAACCATTTTTGGTTCAAGGAAAGTAAAAACAATAAAAAAATATTTTGATTGAGCGGCTAACATGGTGTACAGCAGGATTGGCATACTGCTGCAGCTTTGTTTGAATGAAGCACCGCTTCATTGAGAATTTATTTGTAGAATCTGAAGTTTTGCACAAAAATATTTCTGATAGAAAGAGATATCAATAAAGCAAATATTCCTTTTTCACATCTGGAAAATCTTATTTTCTTAAAAGTCACAATGGCAGCCTTTCTGAGGGTTTATCGCTGTCGCAGAACATACATAGCTGTACGTTCGTCCATCATAAACAACAACAAACTAGTTGAAGTAGAGATTTTCACTTCGTATCTCTGAAGAAGTACGAAAGATGCCAAAACCACTTTTATTTTATTTGAAAGTTACGTTGCTTCAGAAGTTGTAAGCTTCATATGCTTCCCACCATGAGAGTATATTGCAAGTTTACTTGAATTTCGTTTCTCGCCAAGGGCTCTTACAGGAATAGGATGTGATGGTTGAGAAGCCATCAAGATGACATACTATTCTAATTAAATGCGAGCTGTTCAATATAATTATGGAGGGGGGAAGCTAAGGGGAAGCTTAGATCTCTCGCTTACTACTCATCCGATTCGCTAACGATATACCAAGCTGTTTTTGTTTTTTATTCACAACTTTCCTTATTCCTTTTCTCTTTCTGGTTAGCTTCCCTCCTTCACTCGGTTACTATTTACACATGTTTTCAACTTGGCACATCCGAAATGAGTAGCGTGACTTATTATGAAATCCTTACAATAGCGGATGAAGACGAAAGGGAAGAAGTACTGAGACAACCACATATTTATCATCCTGTCATATTTATTTTTCGACGAAAATACAGCCAGTTAAAGTATCTGACAAAGAATCAGAGACAGTGAACACAGAAATGACTGAAATGCTATTTGCTCAAGCTCTACTTGTTTATTGCCTCAAGGCATGTTGTGTAGACATTACAGTAGAATCATTAATTTCCAACTATTCTTGAAATATACTTGAATAGCCTAGCAGCTAAGATTTAATCTCAATCTTTTCAGATACTCGCCGTCTGCTTCGTCTCCATATTGGACTGCCTCTGGCAGGCCACCTTCTCGATCAGAATTAGTTCGAATGGAACTACGCAATTCTTTACAAGCAAAACAAATGGCCAACCAACGTAAGCATTCTGAACTAAGAATGAAAGAATTATTTTTCTTTGAATATTTTCAGAACGATTGCCAGCTTTGACATCTCCTGTTGATTCTAACCCCCTGAGTGAAACTCACTCGAATACTCCATCGATCGGATCGGACTCCCTCGGTTTCGATATGGACTTTGGAGTTAAGGATGCTGACGGAAGCTTGGATGCTGATCTTGATTCTGTTTATGATTTCAATCTTGGTGATGGCTGTGGAGTAAGTCTATCTATACTATAAGTTTGTGCATTCTGAAGTCCAATTACATTCTTTTCGTATTGTTATTCTTCAATTCGTTACGCAACCTGATTTTGAAGAATTCATACAATCGAGAGAGTGAAGAGAACTTCCCAAATTATGAAGAAAAGTGAATTTAGCTTACTTATTTGTTCCTTTTTCAGTTCCAGTTTGATATGGAAAATGATGCTACCCGTTGTTTAGTTATGAAGCTTCTCAGCTAAGCATAAAACTCAAGCTCATCATTACATAGTAATAAACCACATACATATAATTAGTCATTTTTTGCAAATCTAATCGTTTTATTTTCCGGAATTTACCAAACTCTTTCCTTATACGGATCTCAATCTTCAACTGTTTTTCCTTCTCTAAACATTCGTTCCTTATAGATTTACCAGAGTACTGTTATAAATATATTATGTAAATGCATATAAATAATATAGTAACATCCATATTATGTGGCATCGTCTACACTTTTATCAGATTTTATCGTGACTGTATTTAATATGGTGATCACATCATCCGGTAGCCTGTATTAATAATTTGTATGAACTAAAACTTAATATTATGTCCAATTCATTATTCTAACAAACAACAAAAAACAGAAAAACAATCAAATAGAATGCAACAGCTCTGAACGCCTCATAACGTTATTCATCTTTATCATCATCGCTTGGTGAATCTATGGCCATACTAAATTGAGCTGGCTCCAAGAAGATCGTACGAATTAGAGCTTTGAATGACAAATATTGTTCACTCTCTGTTACTTCTTTAGATAATTCGATGACGAGCCTGTCGTTGGGCTGGAAAAAACAATTCAATGAAAGCTAACATAGCGCGATTATATCTACCGAGATTTTTCCTGTGATGGGGACAACCTTACCAGGATCCTCAGGGTCGATTTCTGCATCGCACGATCTGAAGATATTACTAGCAGATCTAGTGAGACTGGGTCGTACGACCTAAAAGAATTGTTTTGAAATATTATGAACCATAGAAAACACTAACAGTGTTCAGCGTGAACCATGTACTGCTCGAAAAAAATGTGGGAGGGTAAGTGCAATCCACAGGTATGGGCGACCTACTTCTGTAAGCTTCTAATGAAGAAGCTTTCGCAACCGGCAGATTCTGAACAAGTGTTAATAGGAGAATTTTGCTTGAATACGTACGGCCTCCACAAAGTCCTCACAAGTAGATTTGGATGAGTCAGAGAAGTTTTTGTGAAAGTCTATGTTCCATTGGTGCTGGTCATACTTGCGAACGGCTTGGCATAATGCTTCTGTCAAGCGAATGACTCGCTCATCCTAATGAATAAATGAATTTTCATGTTGTAAACCAATGATAGTTACCTCACTGACATTATCATCGAAAGTTGTTTCAATGGGAACATTGTCAGCAAGAAGATATTGTGTTTTCCTAATTTTACGCATCTAGAATAGAATGAACTCTTGAGATGATCATTAATAGTCCTACGCTTGCTTTTCTTGATTTCACAAACACTGATTGTGCCCGGCGGAAATGGGAAGACAATCTAGACTGCTTCATCATACTGAATACATCTCTGAAAAAAAACTTGCACCCGTTAGTTCATATTGACATACTCGTCAGTAAGTGGGATGCTTTCTACTATTTTCGTGATGTCTGGAACATCCCCTCGTCTATATTTTTCGCTGATTTCCTAAAATTTCATTTTTCATCCATTGTAATGTTCAAAAAACGTACATCTAGATTTTTATGCAACTCTTTTAGTTCCTGCTCCGAAAACCCGTCTTCATACTGAAACATTTACCAAGTTGAGTTATTGAACTATGAACAAACTTTTCTCAAAGGACGCGGTCTAGCTTTCGGTCCTGTTTTTTGGTCAATAACAGCTATAAGTTTATCACCCGTTTCGTCATCGCCATTTACCATCTCATTGAAACGACGATATTTCTAAATTTGAACTATAAGAGATGGGAGGAGAAGAAAACAAACTCTATTCAATTCATAATTTTTTGTGTACAATCTAGTGGATGATAACCGAGCAGAGAGGGATTTAGAACAAGCTTCGCTCATTTTGGAAGACAAGAGCTGGAACAGGGGTTTACATAGCATCCATTTCTTATCAATCATACCCTAATTTTCGTACTGAGTAACGTTTGGAAGCGATATCGACATTGGTCAGGTAATCTGTTTTTCAAGATTTGGGAACATTTCACCCAGTGCCCACGACCAAACACCGAAACAGAATAAAGAAGTTTCTCGTCGTCCTCTAACGTCCACTCTTTGCACGCATTTCTCTTATCAAGTCCAGTTATCCACCTTGATTAATAAAATGAATGAATAGAAGCCCATATCAGACTGACCTGTCTCGACACTGAACATCAGTACGCCCAGGAACGCTTTTCGCGATTTTATGCCAATCCTTGGCTCCATACTTACTAACAGCGCACATTAACAGCTGAATAAGCCGTATAAGAGAATAAGCAATGAAACCATTACAAGATCTTCCGGATCAGTCCATCTACCGTGTTTCACAGTTTTATCCAAGGTACGTAGATATCTTGTCCTCACTTGTTGTCGGTGCCTACCTCGCATGTTGTACGTTACTGTAAAGGTCTTGCTTGTTAAAAAACCCAAAGTCAGTGAATGAACCTTTATCCCATTGAATCTTTCCATTCACTTTCATTATATTTACTAAAGCTATGAGTTTCTCATCTTCCTCTTGTGTCCACTCTCTGTAACCACAAATGTTAAATGGTGAAAACTATAACGAGCGTACCTTGAAGACACATATAAATCACTTCGATACTTTTCAAAACACATCCACGGGGTCCTCTTAGTACCTAACATATCTGCTACAACTCCCCAGGATACAAAATTGTTCTTCAAACAGAGTTACTAGTAAAGTACTAACAATCATCACTCACTTCTCGCAACTCTTTCAGTTTTTCCAACTCTTTCTTGTCCCATGGTCCACTGTTATAAGCTGGGCATTGCTCATTCACCCATTTTAGTCGAACAGAAGCAGGAGTTCTGATTCCGTTGAACTAGAAAGATTATAAGTTGAGTTAAATGATGATTACTCACATCTCTATTAGCAATTTTCACCCAGTCTACGTTACTATAATCTCCGACCAGTACTTCCTCATCGGACAAGCTCCTATAAGAGTGAATGTTATGAGTGTAAATATAAACATACGAACAACCTTTCGTAAGCGATTTTTCTGTCCAACATTTCAACTTCATCCTTCCAGAATTGCTTTTCAGAAAGGCCTGTTTCTTGACCACTTTCTGTAATTTTTTGGGCGAATAGATCACGTCTGAATTTGGAACAGTTTAGATAAGGAAGTACTCTCATGCCTGTCTTTCAGCGGCTGAATCTTATTCGTGAGCATGGATTCTTTCACAGCCGATCGTAAGAGCTTCAATTCATTTGCCGACCCTACAAAGAGAGCTTGAGTGATATTCTAGATGACTGAGTTACATTTTTTTTCCTCTTTGCTTAATGGATCGAAGGCAACATTTTTCATTTTCAACTTAGCTTCCTCACTTAATGGAGGGCACTGGAACAGAGTTTCTCATCAAACTTGTATCTTATGCCATACATACCATCATATTATGATCTTTAAAATAGGGTGGGAGGTATTGAAGAACCGGCACTTTTTTCCTTGTAGTTAACTCACTCTCCCTTAAAGCTTGTTGCTTAGTGAGAATATTTCTCTGAAGAATATAGTTTTTCAGACAATTTTTAAGCTCTATGTTCAACCTGTTTAAGTAAATTGTTTTCTATTGATCTCTCTACTTTTGTAATCATTTGACTGACGAGCTCGATGTAGGCTTCATTTAGAGCCATCAGAACAACCATCGAATCACATTCAGGCCATCCATCGTCCGTTTCTGTATTATCTAAGGCTTCTCCCATCTCCATTGCAGACTTAAAGCTCGAACTTTGAATGCATTGGAAAACTCAACCTTACTAGCTCTGACGGTGCTATGGGATTATCACCAGAATATGATAATTCTTCGTCTAGAAGGACGTCCATGTTTGAAATATCCCTAGCTGAGCCCTGCAAGCAAAAGCTAGTGGGGTGACATTCAAATTTTTTTTAGCAGTAGGCTACGTGATTGCGCGTCTTTCGAAACGAAAAAAATGCGTATGGATAGTTAAAAATGAAATACTTGTATAACTTTTCATTTTCATAATTTTCTGAATGCTATTGATGGTTGTTCATATTAGAATGAAACATTCTCTTTCAGATGAATCCTATAACTAATATTAAAAACCAGAACAGGCTCAATGAACGAGAGTTGAACCTGGGAATAGCTGGAGATCTCGGTAAATCATGGCATCAAAAATATAATGATTCTGCCTGGGTGTATATTGGTGGATTGCCATTCGATTTGACGGAAGGAGATATCATCACAGTTTTCTCTCAGTTAGTTTTCTTTTAAAATTTATTTATAGTCCAACTTGTTATACAAACCTCTTGTTTTCTGCGTTGTTTTGAAAGATACGAGCACCAACCGTTCGTTTCTGTTTTTCAGTTTAAAATGAAATCCCCACGCAGTTTTCACGTGAATGAGAGAGTGGAGTGTTATGCTAATTATGTTATGTACAGTGAGTTTCTCTATTTCGAGAATTCAAATCAAGATTCGAGCCCGCATCATCTCCCACTTTGCGGAATGTTTATTGTTTTAGTTTTATGAATTTAAAAATATAAACTTGAGAGCTTATCCATTTTTCATTTGTATAATAACCTTTTTCAATCTTTCAATATTATGTTCCCTCACATGTGTACGTGAGGTCATTATCTGAAAGGGTAATAAGATGTGCTCCTATCCTCTGAATGTTACAATATAGGCGCTTTCAATGAGCTAAGGGTGACTCATAGTTAACAGCTGCTTCTTTCCCTGCAACATCATCGTTAGAAGGAGATGAAGTTTTCTTTGAGCCATCAACTAATCACTTTTCATATGGATATCACATTGTTAACGATGTGCTACGACAGAGAAGGCAAGAAGTAGAGGGAAGATGGTGTTGGTCCCGAATCGCTTATTAAATGTTTTAAGTTGGCTTCAAAGCTGCGCATTGCTCTTTAAGTGCTAAGATGATGATCTGCCCTTACTTTGCTTTCTCTTTTGTTTATTTCTCCGCCGTATGTGGTTCTGCGCCTTATAAACTATGGAACGAAGAATCACATATGTTTCTTACGAGATATCTTTAAGAATCTTAGAAGCTCCATGTCTAAAGCTGTGAAATTGAGAGAAAGAGGAAAAAGCCGAATGGTCGAAATGCACTTTAAGCAGATGATTAAAAGGATTTTTCAGATATGGAGAAGTTATGAACATCAATCTTATTCGGGATAGGAAAACAGGAAAGTCAAAAGGTTTCTGTTTCCTCTGCTATCAAGACCAACGGAGTACTGTCTTAGCAGTTGATAACATGAATGGAATAATGGTTTTCATATTTCTCATCGGCAGATATATAGTGCTTCTTACAGTTACTGAAACGGATGTTACGGGTAGATCATGTTGAAGAATATAAAGTTCCGAAGTACCGTGAGGACGCGGATGAAGAAACAAAACGCCTCTGGGAGGAAGGGTGCGCACCGAAACCCATACAACGAGAAGCGAGTACGTGCTTTTGGTGTTTTTGCATAACCTTTCTTTTATCATTTTGATTCATTTTTTTTGTAATGTATCTTCCTTTCGTCTTGTTGTCTGTTGAGGACAGATGCTTTGCCAGACAGTTTAGCCAAGCTTATCTGAGGTCAACGTAACAGCTGACGACTGATTCGTTTGACAGCCTAAATGGTTCAAAGTTTTTGAGCTTTACTTTTTTGGCTTACAAAATACAAAGGACTGTAGTTCGAACTTCTTTTTTTCAGTTATTGAACCAATCAAGGATGAGCCTCAGATTAGCTATACCAAAGATGTTATTCTTGATCTCAAGGTGGTGCATCTTTATGAGTATTTTTTCATAATGATTATCTCAGGTGGATGATTACACTAAGGATATTAAGAAACAAATGAAGAAAGACAAGAAGAATGCTAAGAAGGAGAAGAAGAAAGCCAAGAAAGACAAGAAGAAGATGGAGAAAGTTAGAAAGCTTCTGGAGAAGTCTAAGAATGATCCTGAAGGAAACTGGAAGGAACAGATGAAGTTGCTCGATGTCAAAGTTGATGTAAGTGCTCTTCGTATGTTTTCTGATTCTGTTTTCTCTATTCCAGGATGATGAATTGTATAAAAATGAACATTTCAACTTCGGAAAGAAGATTGAAAAGGAGGAGAAAGTTTATAATGCTCGTCCTGACGACTTTAATAAGGTGCGTGATTTATCGTCTTCGCTATCATATTCTGTGTTCAGCTCACAGAGACAGAGAGAGCTATCTGGAAGATTGTTCGTGATCAAGAAATTGCGGAAAAAGGAAAAGGAGTATGGAAAGAAGGAGAAAACTACGTATCGAAACGATACAGATAATAATTTCGTTAAGTATTTTGTACATATCTTGTTGTCGTATAAACGTTCTTTCATCGCTAATCTAGTATGTAGTGTCCGTCATTTGTTCAGGCCTGTTTGGTTACTTTTGTAAGTTGCGGTCTGGGTGGTTGAGCACGAGTACCAGCTTCAACGTTTTTTCCAGATTTGCTTTTACGGTTAGATGTTAAACCACATCGAAGAGAAGCACTGCCAGTGCTTCCCAGGTGCACGTATGGTGTTACTATCATGAGAGTATACTATTCCGGAAGTGAAATTAGTTTCGAATGAGCTCAACAGAGTTTGACCATAGGATATGGTCCCTCATTCACCGGGACAGGTTTATCTTTAAATATTCTAACCAATGCAGGATGGATCGATTCATTGAACTACCTGCCCGTGGGGGTTGAGCATCTGGACATTCTCAACAGAAGAAGTTGCCAGAGATAATAGTAGGGATCTGCCACTTCATTCGGTGGAGCTAGAGATGAAGAGAGAAAAAAGATTCATTGATGAGAAGATTTAAGCAGCAGAGGAAGAGCCAGTGCATTACAACAGCGGTAGATATGATAGAAAAGTATGTGCTAATGGAGAGGGATAAGAATTTTTGAGAGAGAGTCTGATTGGATGTAGCTGTGCTCTAGATCCTCTATCAGTTACAACGAGATTGAGCCAATCTCTTAACGTATGAACCCAGCTAATTCTCTGATGCCCTCCTGCTTCTCCTTAAACTTTCCGACCTCGATATGTTCAGGATGAATTGTAAGGCGAGACAATGACACGAATGTTACATAGTAAGCAGATGAAGGAGGGGAGCAAAGAAGAAATTGGTAAGTGGAAAGATAGGCCTCTCTTTACGAAGATTAACGTTGATTGTTTGACAGTGTGACCAGCCAGACGGAGGAACAGATGCCAAAACACAACTTCAATCTTGGAGATCGCGAAAGATCACTAACGTCTATCTTTTCGCTCTTAACTCCGCCCATTTGAGAACTAGGATGGCTTCGTTGGCTCAGCTATTCTCCTTCCAGCAGGCGCACTGACATCTCGGGCCGGACCTTTTGCAGCTGCAGCAACAGCAAAGGAAAGACCAGTGCTCTCTGACGCCTGTGGACCTACTTCGGTGAGGATCACTGAAAGTAGACCATGAGGCGGCTAAAATCGCCTTTATGGTAAGTATTATTATTATTTTTTTATCAGAAATAGTTGATTATTGGATTTTGTGAATGATATACCGTAACGAGATCTGATAACAGTAGTTTCTGCAATCTATTAATGAACTGTTTTCAATTTTATGTTTTCCAGGCAAATGCTATTATTAGCATCCGTTCTTTTTGTAACAATTAATGTCGTCGATTCAGTGAGTTTTTTTACTTTTATTTGATAGTTTTCAACATTCCAATAGCTCTTTCTTGCTCTGTTTCCCCTCATCCTGATTTGGGATCTCTCAGATAGTTTGCCAGCTGGCGGTACTGTTCTCCAGCTGCAACTTCTTCTGAGAGTTCTATGAAATGTTTTTGCAACGAAAGCGCTCTTCGTTCATCTCCTTGTTTCGCATTTCTTAAAATTCTTCCTCAACCAACTATGGGAGGCATTGAGAAGAGGATTTAGAAAGTTCAATTCAATGAACATTTGGTAATTTTGAAGCACTTGTAGAGCATTGTTTATTGCAGAACATCTTATGTCTAATAATGTCCTATGTTTATATTTAATCTCCTTATTTCTTCTTCCTTCCCTGTTTTCTTTCAAAGTCTATTCTGCATACTTCCTCCCTCCCTCTCTCTCTCCCTCTCTCTTACTCTCATCCCCTTCTCTCCCTCTCCTAATAAGCTTTCGAAAAAGACAAACGAAACTTTGTCATTGATAGCCTCAGGGCTGTTATCCATCAGACCTTTCTGTATGGATTAGAAATGTTCGGAATACGGTAAGAGATGGCACCAGACAGACCGTCCATTCTTAACATCATTTTTGCCCAATTTATTAAAATGTTTCGTGCATTATGGTTTTCTCAATCCAATTCTGTCATTATATAAAATAGATTTATCAAAGATAAGAAGAGAAGTAACAATGAGCTAGATATATGAGAGAGGGATGGGAAGGATAGGAGAGATATAGACAGGGAGAGAGAGAGAGAGAGAAGGAAAAGGCGTCCACAGTTTAATGTTTTTGTCCTACTGAAGCTCTGTTAGCCGACGACGTCCCTTCATCTGTCTAAATTGATATTAGTTGACATTAAGCTTCAATGGCGAACATTTTGAGAGTTTGTCATCCTCGATAGAAAGCTTTGAAGAAAGTTTGATGACAGATTGAACATTTTATTTTTGAGCAAAAAACATTTGTTTTTTCATCTCTTCTTCAATCCATCCCACTAGGAGAGGAACTTTTTTAGACAAATGGAAAGCAACGATTGATGAAAGGTTTTTAGTTTTCTTAAAATCGTAAGAACGTTGCCATCATCTGTTCGGATACTGTATTACAGCTTCAACAGATGACAAATCTCTTGTATTCTTCTGACCTCATTATGATCTAACCATCTGATGATTACTTCTGAAAAAGTTTCTGAACTTTTAAAGTTGTCAGAAGATTTATGAAAAGGACTGCGAGTGCTCATTGCAACTTCGTTTGAAGGAGAACTCTCTCAAATGTGCTCAGCTCCAAGAAGAACGAGCCTAATGACCTACCATCTGATCCCAATTTTATCTGGCGTTTGCGACAAAATTAGCTCAAAATTTGTTGTCGACAACAGAGAAGAGATAATTCAAAGCGAATTCCATCATTCTCGTTCTTTTTGAATATTAAGCTCCGGGAGAAGTATGATTGCTCTCGTAATTATAGAGATTAGAGAATAGAGGTGTAGAAAGAATATTACAACTTGCTTCCTATCACCCTCTCTTCCCTTTCTGTCAGAGTTTCATCTCTCTCTCCCTCTCTTCCTCTCTCTATCCTTTTGCCTTGTAGCTTTCCCGACTTACTTTGATCCTCCTATCAGTGCAAATTCGATGGATCATCATAAGAACTATGGATTAGATGGATGATTTTTAAACACATCCAGAAATGCAATTGATTGATCGGCTTCTTATCTATCGATGAAATAGAATTGTTTCTTCTCATCTTGAGAACCCTTATGAGAAACATTAAGAAGCTAAATGAACGGAAAATGGGGGGAAGCTGAAGATGGGATCTCACTGTAAGCATCTGAAATTTGGGGAATTTCCGTCGAGAGTTCGTGTCTCACCTCTCCATAGTCATTTATCAGAAGATGGACAACAGTTGTTTGGCTTTTTTGCCATCTTTTTCCTTCTCTACTCATCTCAAAAACCTCTCGATCTGTATAAGGAAGTCCAAAAATTAAGATTTTCGTTCGTGCCAACCATATAGGGGAAACAGAGTCCCGGCTACTACCTTTCTCAGTACGTGAGATAGTTCCATTTCGAAGGTTTTGAGAGAAGTTTTTCTTTTCACAACTGACCCATCTGAAGAGAAGCGATCTCACCCTCCGTTTTTTTTTCATTTTTCAAGAAAGAGATTTGAATCAGACAACGATATATCAAAGCTTATATCGAAAAGTTTTCCTTCAAATATCTTTTCATATTTAATTCTTGAGTTAGGAGGGACCAGAGCATCTCTGAAGATTCGTCTTGCAAACGATTTTGAGAAAACTTCACTGAACACCCATATAGTAGAGATTAGGTTTCATTGAAGTGAGGAAAAACATCAAAACCTTCCTGGTCAGTTGTCAGTACTGCTCATCTCAAGTTCTAGCTGTCCTTATGATATCTTGAAATGCTTCTCATATGTTTAGGACAACATTCGCGTTTGAAAAAATATAGCAACACTTCATATATTTATGTTTTAATTTATTTTTTTTCAGCAACAAGCTTGTCGTGACTGTACTAATAGAGGATGCTTCTGTGTAGGAGAAAAGGGTTCTATGGTAAGTCTTCTTTTCATTTTGATATACAAAGAGTAACTATGTTAAAACTCTCTGACTTTGTCAAGAAAACGAAGAGATTTCTTAATCTTTTTACATCATTCCACAATCATTCTGAATGTGCAAAGTCAGAGAAGGTGGAGGCGGAATAGTGAAATCGCCGAAATAGCTCGGAGAAGTGGGAGAATAAAATTATAAAAAAGAATAGAAAAAAGAGATGATGAGAAGAGAGTGAGTAGAGGAGAGAGACATTGAATGTGTCGGTTACTTTGGCGCTCTTCTGCCTGATAAATCCCAAATGAAAGAAAAGAGAAAAAGAGAGTCAGCTGCTTTCTTTCTTTCCTCCAGTTCATCTCAAAATAAATATCTTGCATAGAGTGGTGGAGAAAGTGCACTCGAAAAAGAACGTAGGACAAATTCGAGATAAAAGTTGCAAAAAAATGTCCAAATTTCACAAATTATTCGTACTTAATAAATTTTCTTTCTAGGGATCACCTGGCCCTCAAGGACCACCTGGAGCTCAGGGTATTCGTGGATTCCCAGGACCAGAAGGCTTAGCTGGACCTAAGGGACAAAAAGGATCCCAAGGGCCTCCAGGACCACAAGGATCTAAGGGAGACCGCGGTTTAGTCGGTGTTCCTGGATTCCCCGGAAACGATGGAAAGAACGGACTTGCCGGAGAACCTGGACCACCAGGAGCTCCTGGTTGGGACGGTTGTAACGGAACTGATGGAGCCCCCGGTATTCCCGGTCAATCTGGTCCACCAGGTATGCCAGGTTTCCCCGGACCTCCAGGTTTACCTGGAACTAAGGGAGAGCCTGCTATCGGATATGCTGGAGCTCCCGGAGAGAAGGTAACATTAGTAAATTCACTAGAAAAATACTGTTGATTCTTAAGGGAGACTCTGGAATGCCAGGTATGCCCGGACTTCCTGGACCCCCAGGACGTGATGGTTACCCCGGAGACAAAGGAGACAGAGGAGATATCGGAGCTGCTGTAAGTAGAACATATTATTTTCTATTTCTATAGCTTTTATAGGGTCCACGTGGACCTCCAGGAGAACTTGGTATGCCTGGTAACCCAGGTATCGGTACTGTTGGACCCAAAGGAGATCCTGTAAGTTTTGATTTTATTTTTGTTTGTCTGCACCTGTCTCCGAACCGCACATCACCAGCTGCCTCGTCGTTATCTTCGGACCGGGCCCTATCCACTAAAAGAACGAAAGTACCCGTAAAATACAGGATATCCACAATTTTTGAATACGGAGTGTACATAAGTGGGGGGACTGGAACCAAATTTCAATGAATGGCACGTTTTCGAAAACACTGAAAGAAACTGTAAAAGTATTGTCCTTATATACACTCAGTCAACGTTTGATCTTCGTTTGTTTTGAATCACTTTCTTGTCCTCGCACGGATCGTTTTCTGTCATTAGTTGTGAAGAAGTATTGAGAAAAGAACGTCTGTAATTCTGTGTGGATCGTTATGGATTAAGTCACTTTTCGTACACATGCACATGCTGTTTTTCACATACACCCACTCAATGAGCAGCACAGTACGTCATCGCGTGTTGTCAGAGCAAAGGGAAGAATTGTAGCCATCTGAAGTCTGACAACTGAGAAGACGATTTCTGGCTACTTTCTGGAATTCGCTCTCTTCACTGTGCTTTTAGGGAGATATGGGCCCCCCCGGACCACCTGGTCCACCCGGTCCTCGCGAATTCACAGGCAGCGGTTCGATAGTCGGACCTCGAGGCAACCCAGGAGATAAAGGAGACAAGGTATTGTTCACTTTATTTATTTCTTTGCATTATAGGGAGATCCAGGACCAAGGGGACCACCGGGACCCCCGGGTCCGATCGCTTCCACCATGGCCAAGGGAACCATTGTTGGTCCCAAGGGTGACCTTGGAGAGAAGGGAGAGAAGGCAAGAGACTGAACGATCTGCTCGTTAGCTTGCGGCTCTTTGAAGATCTTCTCAATAGATTCTCTTACCCTAATGATTTTCAAAACAAATTTTCATACTTTCAAATTACGAAAATCATCAGAGTTTGAGCTGTTAGTGTCGCTATGAGAACCACTTCATCTTTATAAATTTCAAAAATCTGTGAAGATGATGATGAGAAGATCGCGTAGGACTAACATAGAAAATATAGACAATAACGCTTAGCATGCTTTTAGCTTAGTTGCTTTTGCTCGATTGCACAGTTTTGTTCGGTTCTAATGTAATTATTATAGGGAGACCCAGGAGAGGCTGGTAATAGAGGTTTCCCTGGAGCTCCAGGAATCCCAGGACAACCTGGCCTTCCAGGAATGAAAGGAGAAAAGGGATTATCTGGACCTGCTGGACCAAGAGTACGTGTTATTCAGTTTGTCATGATCCAAATTTATGTTTTAGGGAAAAGAAGGACGCCCAGGAAACCCAGGTCCACCTGGATTCAAGGGAGATCGTGGATTAGATGGAACCGCTGGTTTCCCAGGACTTCCAGGACAAAAGGGAGAAGCTGGATACCCCGGACGCGACGGACCAAAAGGAAATCTCGGACCCCCAGGACCTCCTGGAGTGAGTATCACTTTTATCATTCTTAAAATGTTCTGATTTCAGGGTGGATCATTCAGTGATGGGCCTCCAGGACCTTCTGGTCTTCAAGGACGTCCCGGAAACCCAGGACCTCCTGGTCAAGATGGTTATCCTGGTGCTCCAGGTCCTCAGGGACCTCAAGGACCTCAAGGTGGACCTGGACTTCCAGGTCTTCCTGGTCTTGAAGGAATGCCTGGACCAAAAGGAGATAAGGGAGATTCCGGTTTACCCGGAGCTCCTGGACTCCCTGGTCCAAATGGATTGCCTGGCCTGAACGGACCTAAAGGAGAAGCCGGTTATCGTGGAACTCCTGGTAACAGTATCCCAGGTCTTCCTGGAAAAGACGGAAAGCCTGGTCTTCCTGGTCTTCCCGGTCGTAAAGGAGAAACTGGACTTTCTGGAGTTCGAGGTAAGAGGAAAACTTCATAGTATTGGTATTAATCATATTTGAATAGGACCACCCGGAGATTCTCTCAATGGGTTACCTGGAGCTCCTGGACCACGTGGTCCTCAAGGACCTAAAGGTTACGACGGACGCGATGGATCTCCCGGACTTCCTGGTCTCCCAGGTCACAAGGGAGAGAAAGGAGGAACCTGTTCCGTTTGCGCACCTGGTGCTAAGGGAGAAAAAGGAAATGGTGGATACCCTGGTCAGCCAGGACGTCAAGGAGAACGTGGACTTCCCGGCCTTCCTGGACCTGAAGGAGAACCTGGAGATGATGGTTTAACAGGAGCACCTGGACGACCTGGAGCACCTGGACCATCTGGTCTTGATGGACTCCCAGGACCTCAAGGACAAAAGGGAGAACCTACCCAATTAACTCTCCGTCCCGGACCCCCCGGATACCCTGGTCAGAAAGGAGAATCTGGTTTCCCTGGACTCCCCGGTCAAGAAGGACTTCCTGGCACCCCAGGACCACATGGCCCATCTGGATCTCCTGGTTTCCCTGGCGAAAAGGTAAACAGTTTTCATTCTTCAATAATCTCCTTGTTCTTGTTTTAGGGAGAACCTGGATTCCCTGGATTACCAGGAAAACCCGGAAATGATGGATTACCTGGCCTTCCTGGAGTTAAAGGAGAAGCCGGTTTTGGACAGCCAGGACTCCCTGGACTTCCAGGACCTAAAGGAGAAGCTGGTCTTCCTGGACTCCCTGGAACCCCTGGTGGTCAAGGTCTTCCTGGATTACCTGCTCCTGAATCACAAGTAGAACGTGCTCCTCCTGGACCACCTGGTTTGCCAGGTCCTCAAGGAAAGAAAGGAATGGATGGATTACCTGGACGTCCTGGAGAATTAGGACCCTCTGGTCTACCTGGTTTACCAGGATCTAAGGGAGAGTCCGGACTTCCTGGACAGCCCGGATTACCTGGTCAATCTGGCATCCCCGGAGACAAAGGATTCGCTGGTATAGAAGCTACCCTCAGTTTTGCTATAATAAAATATATGTTATAGGAGTCCCTGGTCTTCCCGGAATCCCAGGACCAAAAGGAGATCTTGGACAACCCGGACTTCCTGGAATCCCTGGACAAAAGGGAGAAGCTGGACGTTCTGTTACCGGTGCTCCCGGAGCCCCAGGCTTCCCTGGTCTCAAAGGAGACGCGGGACTTCCTGGTCAACCCGGATTACCAGGACTTGAAGGACAACGTGGATTCCCTGGAACTCCAGGTGTCAAGGGAGACAATGGACTTTCTGGCGCTTCAGGAGCACCAGGATATCCTGGCCAGAAAGGAGACCTTGGATTGCCCGGAATTCCTGGTAAGAATTCAACTGATCAAATTGAAAAAATAGTTTGATTTAGGAAAGGAAGGACCGGTGGGACCACCAGGACAAGATGGACTTCCAGGCTTACCTGGACTTAAAGGAGAATTGGGAGTTCCTGGCTTCCCAGGCCAAAAGGGACTTCCTGGAATTCCTGGAGTTCCTGGAAACAAAGGCATGTGAATTAACTTTTCTATGATAAACATATTTACTTCTATAGGAGACTACGGTCTTCCTGGTTTACCTGGAGCAAACGGTCCTAAAGGAAATGCTGGTCTTTCTGGTATGCCTGGTCTTCCTGGATCTAAGGGTCAAGGTGGTCTTCCCGGAGCCCCAGGAAGAGATGGATTACCCGGCATTCCCGGAATCAAAGGAGAACGCGGTTACAATGGAATGCCAGGAGAAAAGGGAGAAGCCGGTCCAGCAGCTCAAGATGGACAAAAGGGAGAAACTGGACTTCCTGGACAGCCTGGTCTACGTGGACCATCTGGACCATCCGGTTTACCTGGAATTCCTGGACTTAAGGGAGACGCTGGTTTACCCGGATATGGAGCCCCTGGAATGCCAGGAGAGAAAGGATTACCTGGTATTCCAGGAAAACAAGGAAGACCAGGAGCCCCAGGTTCCCCTGGACAAGATGGACTCCCCGGATTCCCTGGCCTCAAGGGAGAAGCTGTGAGTACCTAATTTGTTATTTTTTAATCGTTTTTCGTATGCAGGGTTATCCTGGTCAAGATGGTTATCCTGGCAAAGACGGTCTTCCCGGACTTCCTGGACTGAAAGGAGAAGCTGGACTTCCTGGCTCTCCAGGTCTACCAGGAGCCCCAGGTCAAGAAGGCCCTATGGGAGTACCTGGAATTCGCGGAGACAAGGGACAAGCTGGATTACCAGGAGTCCCAGGAGAACGTGGATTTGATGGTATCCCAGGATTGAAAGGAGATGCTGGTTTCCCAGGACAGCCTGGATTACCAGGAATTCCCGGATCTAAGGGAGACGCCGGAGCACCAGGATTCCCTGGACTCAAGGGTGCACCCGGTTATCCCGGTCAAGATGGTCTTCCTGGAGTACCCGGTGCTCCAGGACGAGAAGGACAACCTGGATACCCAGGAGAAAAAGGATTGGCAGGCTTACCTGGTTTGCCTGGTGCTCCTGGGCAATCTATTCCAGGCCCACAAGGACCAGTAGGAAACCCCGGATTCCCCGGAAAGGATGGGCTTCCTGGCATTCCAGGACCTAAAGGAGAACGTGGACAAGGCGGTTATCCCGGAGCTCCCGGACTTAAAGGTAATAATCACAGCTGAGATATCAGTATTTCGTTCATTATAGGTGAAACTGGAACACCTGGAATTCCTGGAAAACGTGGTAACGATGGATTACCAGGATTACCTGGTAAAGATGGTCTTCCTGGATTACCAGGATTGAAGGGAGAAGGAGGATTGAACGGACCACAAGGACCTCCCGGAATGAATGGACTTCCTGGACTTAAAGGTAGATTAAAGTAATGATATAAACATGATATGTCGATTCAGGAGAAATGGGACATCCTGGATTACCAGGACGTGAAGCTACTCCTGGACTTCCTGGTGTTCCTGGAATTCGTGGAGAGAAGGGTCTTCCTGGACTCGATGGGCCACCAGGTCTAGATGGTCCTTCCGGATTACCTGGCCAGAGAGGAAACGATGGATTCCCAGGACAACCAGGTCTACCTGGTGAGAAGGGTATGACTGGTTTGCCAGGATTCCCCGGTCTTGATGGAGCTCCTGGAGGTAGTTTCTATTAATCACTGCCGCTTGAATTTTTATTTCATAGGTGTTGGACAACCTGGTCTCCCTGGACCCCCAGGACCCGCTGGACCATCATACAGAGATGGCTTCCTTCTTGTCAAGCATTCCCAAACAACAGAAACACCTAAATGTCCTGCAGGATTTACCAAACTTTGGGATGGATATTCACTTCTTTATATTGAAGGAAATGAGAAATCACATAATCAAGATCTTGGTGAGAAGAATTATCTTTTAGAACGCTGGCTTCATTCTAAAATCTTTCAGGACATGCTGGTTCTTGTCTCCAGAGATTCTCCACCATGCCATTCCTCTTCTGCGATTTCAACAACGTTTGCAATTACGCTTCTCGTAATGACAAGTCCTACTGGCTTTCCACTACTGCTCCAATTCCAATGATGCCAGTCTCAGAACAGGCTATAGAACCATACATCTCCAGGTATTATACACTTCCTCTTTCTATGTTCTCAACATAAACATTTTCTACAGATGCACAGTTTGTGAGGCTCCAGCCAACGTCATTTCTGTTCACTCTCAAACTATTCAAATTCCAAGCTGTCCTGCTGGCTGGAATAGTTTATGGATCGGATATTCCTTTGCTATGCACACCGGAGCCGGAGCTGAAGGCGGAGGACAATCCCTCAGTTCTCCTGGATCTTGTCTCGAAGACTTCCGAGCCACACCATTCATCGAGTGTAACGGAGCTCGCGGAACATGCCATTACTTCGCCAACAAGTTCTCCTTCTGGCTCACAACTATTGAGAACGATCAAGAATTCAAGGTAGACTCATTTCTTCCGACCATCTATAAGTCAAATCTTTTTCAGATCCCTGAAAGCCAGACCCTTAAGTCTGGAAGCCTTCGTACTCGTGTATCTCGTTGTCAAGTCTGTATCAAGAACACCGATGCTGGCAGATACTAAATAAGAAAAACAATGCGTTAAGCTCCAGAATATTGTTTCTGTTTCTAAAATTCTGTGCAAAGCAATAATCTCTTTAATCTTATATGTTTATATCCGGAAAAAGACTTTCTAAGTATGAATTGCCTGGTTTAGGTACCATTTACTTTTCAAGCCGTCCTTCTTTCTCTACAATTTCGAATTCAAAAATTGTGATGTGTCGTCTTAAAGCTAGACAATAAGAAACAACAAAGCTTTTCATTTGCCGTTAACTATGGTATTGTTTCCAACCAGAACATTGCCAGCCCGTAATTCATTGTTCTATTAAATTAATAAATAAATACTTTTATTCTTATTATGCTGAATCTACTGATTTTTTCTGTTGGAACAGTCAGTTTGAATGTTGTCAGGTGTTGAATTGTCATCATGAGGTCAAAACGAAATT